TGAGCTCATCATTTGAGTCTCTTCTTGCTCTGCCCTTCCAGCAAACAGCATAGTGAATGTGTCTGGACATTAGACTCTTTTGGTGGTATTTTGGGCCATCGTGTTTTGCTTTCCCTAGGTTTCTCCTGCAATCTGGTGTTTGTCAGCTCCTGCCCAGAATGGCTATGGAGTGTAGTGGTATTAATTTGCTGCTGCCCTTGTTGTCCTTGAAGACACCACCCAGAGCTATCTCAGACAAATCCCGAAACTGTTGTGCAGTTGCAGATTAGAAGGTGTCATATAAACTGTAATGATTTGAACTGCATGTGAAAGGTATATTTTTAGAGTAAGTTCTGTTTCTGCTTATTTATGTACCATGGAATTGTAGCTCAATATTTAAAGTAACATAAAGTTTTGCTGTGGGCTTTTTTGTTGGGTTTTTGTTGGTTTTTAAACATAGAGCACTTATAGCTAGTTGTTAGCGCTGGAAAGCTAAATGCAAATTTGAGGAAGAGCATTTGAAACATGTAGAAGAGGAGCTGGGAATTACATCAAATAAAGCAGCAAATGGAATAGAAAGCAACTGCGGCTGCACATTTAGCTGTAGCCAAAAGATAATCAAACTATAATAAAACCTCTTGTAAGTACAGCTTTTGGTATAGTTTTGCTCATCCCTTACTTTGTCCCCTCTGCTATACAATTCTTTGCACTGTACTTTTGAAATGGAGCATTGCCATATTGTAAATTGCAAATTGAGGGAACAGGACAAAGCTTACAGATACAGCTCTTCACAGTACATAGCAACAATTTGTTCCGTGGAGTTGAATATGCGATTGGACATAGCAAATGTGAAAGCAGCAAGGTTATGAGCCTCCTCTCGTTCTGAGTTTTTTGAAGTTGAGGGTTTTAACATGCTAGGAGCAAGCAGCAGTGCAGCAGCAGAGGAGTGAGCTCTGAGAATGCACCTCTGTGAGAACAGTTTCCACCTCTGAGAGGGGCTGGAGGGACCTGAGGTACTCTGAGCTGAGGGAAGCAGAGGTACCCCCAGCAGCAAACACAAAGCACTGGGTTGAGAAAAGTAGGACGAAAGCACAGAAGTGTTTCATACCAACTGAGGTACCTCAAGGAACAAGCCTAAAAATAGAAAGCTGTTTGGGAGGGAATGTGCTGGTTATCAAATAGCAAGTATTTAGCAGGTGGAGGTTAGTAGTCGGCTCCTGCTAGAGATAAAGATGAGTTATAACATCTGAAATGCTGGGTAAGAGCAGCAGGATCACAACTGTGAGATCTTACAGCAGTGCAAGAAGGGTGAAAAAACCTTTGACTGTGTATTTTAGTAAACAAATTTCAAACCAGCCGAGGTCAACCAGTGACGCAGCTGCCCACTGTGCAGGTACTCCCAAAGCCTTAGCCTTGTCCTTATCCTTGGCTGCTGGGCCACGTTGTGTTGGAGCAGCTGAACGTGGCAGCTTGTGAGTGAGCGGTGAGGCTGCCACAGCTCCGTGCCCCAGGTCCAGCCAGTAGCAGGGCTTCGCATGTATCCCAGTAGGCAGGTGCACACACAGACTGAACTATACAGAACATATTATATGTATGTATGTGGCCAGCCACACAGATCGGCACAGACACAAGAACAGGTTTGACCTTTGTACACATGCAAAAAAGTCCCTTACCCAGGAAAACAGTTAGAAATGGAATTTAAGAAGAAGATAAGACACGCTGCTGATCAGGAGCAGGGTGAGGCCAGTGAAGAGTACCAACCAGCAAGCTACCTGCACATGGCTGGCCCTTCTTACCCCTTATTTCTCTATTTTCCCCATGCTTGTTTCTCTCCAAACCACCTATATTCCTTGCTTTCCCCACCTTTGATGCCTCCCCTAAACATCCCGTAAGTCTTGTGTAATTCCAGAATGTTCTTCCCCTGCATACTCCTTGGCAATGCTCCCCCCACAGTCCGAAAGGTGCTCTGGAGAGTTGCTCCTTTTGACTCATCCTGATGTGTGGAGCACCAGGGCTGAGGCCCTCCTGGGACAGCTCTGTGAGGGGGCCTGGGCAGGATGGCTTTTCCTCAGGGTTCCTCATGTGGGGTCCTGCCTGCCTGTGTGCCCCTGAGCTCTTCTCAGTGTGTGGAGATGGACCTTCGATGGGCTGACAGCTCTTGCCATGGGCCTGGGAGTAGCTGGGACAGGGTCTGCCATTGCCTATGTGCTCCTTGTAGATGCGCTGACGAACTTTTTTAAAATTGGGTAACCTAGCATTGCTGTAGGATCACTATTTGCAGCACTAGACTATCAACTGTCCCCCATAGCTGAAATAACTTTGGGCTCTTCTGTCATGCGTGTTGCCAACCATGACACTTCTCTGAGCTTCTGTAGTACCAGCAAGTCCCCTTGTCACAGGGTGATGTTCCTTGGCAGATGAATCAATGGCCAGAATGTGACAGTATAATAAAGTCACACTGACAATTTTTTTTTTTAACTCAAGGTGCTCAAGACTAAGAGTTGCTCTGTGCTACTGTGATTGATGGTGTGAAAGCAATGCACAATTGAAGGGATAAAGTATCAATAATGAGAGGGGTCTTCAATGTCCTGTAAAGTGTCATTATGGGAATGGTGAAAGGCGACCTTCCACAATTGACCCACAAAGTGCACAGAAAGTTTGGAGAGCATGTGAAAGTCTTAAAGGGGCTTCCAAAGGGAAGGTTGATTATGGTGATCTTTTTAGTATCGGGTGAGTGAGAGCTGGTGCAGATAAAGGAGCAGATACCTGAGAAATTAGGGTCAAACTGCAGGCTTTTAAGGTACTGTCGAATGCTAACAGCTTGTGGGGCTCTAACTGGATTCTACAGCTGTGTGGCTTGCTCCATCCACCACTTTGTGCATGTATGAATGCATAAAACCAGTAGAGAGGAAAAAAACCCCTGTGTTTTATCTCTTCTTGGAATATTCAGACAGGAGCTCCAAGTTTCAGTGACCATTTTCTGGGTTTGGCAGACTGCTTTTTTTTATGCATGATCTTTCCTCCTGCATTCGAGATCAACCAGGACAGACTAATCCCAAGATTAAGGTGGATCAGATGAAGGGCTGTTTCCATAGCAGATGCTGTCATACGAGTGCCAAGTTCCTCTTGTGATAGAGCAAGGCCGTAGGGCAATGCAGATGGTGGGGCAAATCCTGTTTGTCTTGACTAATTGTCAACTCAGTCCTAGTTCCTTTTTCCTCTGCAGAAAACAAACCACACCAAGCATCCAATTAGGAGACCAAATTGGTTGAAATTCTAAGCCAGGCTTGTATTTACATCTCTTGTGAATAATGTGCTGCACTAAGGTTTGCATTAGTTCATGTTTAACTTGTTGGGTAGCACTTTGTGTGGTCCTGGAGCCAGCTACAGGAGGGGACTGCCTGCTGACTACCCCAAGGATTGCACTGTGTAGCTGCACACCCGCAACTATGCTGTAAAAAGGAGATGCCCAGACCTAAGAGCTACCCTCCGAAATGACTTAAGCAGGTCTAATGAGGAAGTTCCTTTGACAGAAATTGATGCTACTGAGACTGTTCTGTAAAATCATGGCAGTTTATTTCACTCTTGTCTTTGGATGAGGCTTTCTGCTAAACAGAGAAAACAAGGTTATCTATGAGGTGTAGCTATTATTTTGGTATTTAGATTGGAGATCTTGCTGACATGTCCTTCTGACACAAAATGTAGTTACGGTTCCTATGACAACTGTTCCTCTCTCCTCTGGAGCATGGACTAATGATAGTGTTTCATTACATGATCATGTAATGCTGGGCACTGTGACAGCCTTGTCATCTCTGCTCTGGTGTTTGCTCCTAAATGGCATTTAGCTGAAGCCTGCTTGTACTGTGCAGAACATGAATTGGAGTGACTGACCTTCACTGTGCTTACTGCCTGCCACCTCTGACTTCCCAGCTTCCTGCTTTTCATTAGTAAGCTCACTTTCTACCAAAATACATTTGGTAGGATGAACTTTATTGACAAAAATTTCTAGGAATTTACTTCTGTGGTAGCAATTCTATACACTGACTGACATTAATTAACAATAATATCTTAACAAGTACACACAGTACTAATCTGCATCAAACCAATCTGCTGACAAAAATTCATGAGTATAGCAGCCAAACCAGACTATGCAGCAGATTCCTGTAGTTACTTCTGCAACACACTTGAGAAAAATTGTAACAAGTTGAACAGATATATTAAAAGACTTTATTCACAATAGAGAAATTTTTACAAATATAAGTTCTTAAAAATTAAGCATCTTGATCTATTATGTATTCCATAATTTCAGTTTATATAAAGATGAAAAGACTAAATGGACTATGTACAAATCAAAACCAATTTAAATGCATGATAGAAATGGATAATATGTATGATGAAGTCACCATAGAAACAGTGAGCCATTGGGCATTGCAAAAATCTGTGTACAACCAACACGTATGCAATACTTAATCTCACAAACAATCAAAACATTTTCTTTTTTCCCATGAAACAGTGTGGGTGCCATTTAAAGTGATCTACCTCTTAGGACTTAACATAGGCAGATTTAAATGAATTATTATGCTACAAAGAAATGGGAAAAGTATAGACAGTGTGTTTATGCAAAGATACCAGTCTATTCCCCCCTCCCCCCCCGCAATTTCTTTTGCTGTTATGAGTGACTGGGAACACAAAGTGACCATCACTAGCCACTTCCACACAGCTAGTTCAGTGAACGGGAAGTAAAACGCATGTTATCTTGGCAATCTAACAAGCAGTAGTAAGTACTGACTGTTTCAAAATGATTGCTCTAACTTTGGTGTTTTGGGGTTAATTAAAAAAAAAAGGAGGAAAAAATCAATATATTCTCAGTTTATGAAAAGGCTTTTTTCTTACAGTTGGCAGATCTACACGTTGTACAATCGTCTCGTCTACTTACATTAGTTTACAAAAAGTACAGTATAGTGCAGTTTGTACATACAACCTGAATACCAATACCAGTCACATCAAATTTGTGCTCTTTCAAATCATCGTAACTCCCAAACTAAAAAAAAAAAAAAGTCATGCTAAGTGTCTGTATTACAAGGAAACAGTCATGATGCTTATTATTTAAGTACATAGGGCCCAATGCATACAAGAATTGTATGTTTGTAGCCTGCTTTTTGAGACACAGAGAAGAGCTATCTATCTCATTCTCCACTGTTTCTCTTCAGCTTGTTAAGTAAAGGCAAGATCACTAGACACAGCTGGGGGAAGCATAGTGTGGTTAAGAAAAAGAATGTAAAAAGAGGCTTACAAAACACATTTCTTAAAGACTGTTTTTGTCTGAGCTACTGTAGTTATTTAACTGGTATGAGGCCTATAGCAGCACATGCACAACCATGTGGTAGGCAGCAGCAGATGATCCAACAATGATAACAGATAAAAGTAATTACTATTACTTTTTGGTTTAAGAGGGAAGAGAACTCTTGTTTTTATTCCACACCTATAATTTCTCTGTGCTACTTGGGGTGGGGGTGTATGTGTGGAAAAAAGCTCCTTATAAATACTGTTTCTGAAGAAATACAATGAAATATTATAGTCTTCCAACAATACAAATTCTGGAGTATCAAAATCAGCAGGAGTTCTGCTTTTCAACAGGAGAGCAAGACTTCATTCTTGCTCGTTCAGTTTCAGAAAGCGGTTACTGTGGCATGAGGGAATCCATACTTTAAAAAAGAAAATAATAATAATTTAAAAAAGGCAGTAAAGTAAAAAGTCTGGACTCAATGCACCAGTTCCACGTAAGCAGGCTTCATCTGAGGCAGATGCACATATGTTTGTATCCATTCTCCCAGCTCTGGGTTGCCCAGGCTCAGCAGGGTACCCCTATTAACTTCCATGTACGAACGCACAGCTCTGCCAGTCCTGTGATGGAAGGATCAGCGTCACTGAAGATGCTCTTCCCTTGCCCCCTATGTAAGTAAGTGTCTTGGGTGGCTCATGTGGCACATGCCATCTTCTCTGTCTGTAGGGGAAGCAGAGAGGCAGGGGCTGTCTTTACAGATGCCAGAGGGTGAAGTTTATGGGTCACTCTCCAGCTGCTATATATAAAAATATAATCCGTTATCTTTGCTCTTGGCTTCTACCTAAGAAAAACTACACTGCAGACCTCTGTCAGTACAGAAAAAAAATGTATTCTGTAATGCCTAAAACAAATGTGCTTCCTCAGCTATGATTAGCTATGCTGGACATGTGAGCTAGCTTAATAAATACCTTTAAAGAAGATTACTGTTCAGAACCATATTTGTTTTGCTGCAGTCAAATTAGTGAATAATGTGCTTTCTCAGAATAGGAAGCCAGGTGTTACACCCTACTCAAAATACATGAAAGTCATCCTGTCATTAAATAAAAACATAGGTAGACTTAATAATCATGTAAACCACTCCAAACTACTACACTTAAGTAGAAACAGGAATTAATTGTGCCTAATTTTTTTTTTCCCTTTGGTGATGCTACAAAGTAAAGTATTTTTGGCAAAGCTGTTACCTTTCTTAGTAAACCAGGCCTCTAATCTAGGGAGTAATTTTAAGTACACTGTGTTTCCGTCACTTCAAGAAAACGGACTCAGTGCTTTCAGAAAGTTTGAGTTGTACACTGGATAATTTCCTCTCTGAATATCTTTTAAGGAGACAAGTGTTCTTCAAGGCATCTGGACATCTAACTTTATTAATGTAGATTGTCAAGTCTGAACCTATCTGAATGTTTGGGGAAGTCCCAGAAAACCAGCTTGCCTCTGGTATAATTCTCAGCTTCCAGGAAAATGTCATAAAGTATTTTTTATGTCTTTTTACCATCCAACCAAATGAAAGTTACTGGACTAAATACATAAAGAAGGTAAGACTCCCTTTCTTAATATGAAATGATTATCTTATTTTACTCTCTATTAGCCTGACTAAAGACATGACATTAACACCACTTAGAAAAGGGAGCAAACAATTTATTCTATTACAATATTCTAATCAAAACCTGAAAAACTAAGGTCTGCTAACTAATGTGCTAAATTCATAAAAACTAAGTTTAGACTAACTTCAACATATACTGCAGTTTCAGAGTTGTGTCTGCATGAGATGAAAATATTCCTATGTAGACTTCATTGACAATGAAATACATCAACTACTTTACCAAGTAATGATAGACCCGCATAAAGAAGAGGCTGTCACAGTCACAAGATTTGTCTTGGATGACACACAAAAATTAACACAGAACAAAAAAAAAAAGAAAGAAAAAAGCTCTTTATACTTAATTCAATATGGCTTTTTGCAACATGGCAAAATATTACAGCTTAAAGCAGACATCTCCTCACAGAGGAGAAAAAGAATTTTGCAGTCAAATTAAAAGCATAACAGGAAACAAGTAACATGCAGACCCTCTTTTGGCCAAGATGACACTGCAGCCTAACAAAATCTGGAGAGATGTCCTATTTCTCTTCTAAGAGGTGGTTCAGCTGGATTAGAGGACTGAGGTTTTATCATAATTAGTTTGGGTCCATTCATAAATATTTACTGTTAAAGAAGACAGACTGCAAAACACTTGATTTAAAAACTTAACTCAGGAATTTAAAACCAAATCATGTGCCCAAGTCCTGGAAAGAAACATAAGGAATGAAACAAAGTATAACTTAATCTTCATCTATTTCTGGTTTTCTTCTTTATTCCCATCATCTTTGTGAAGAACAGGCAGAGGATGGGCCTCTGTGTTGAAGACCCAATGTTCGAATGGAAGAAGATCATCTTCAGAAAACAGCAAATACAAGTACCTGGCAAGAAAAAAAGCAGGAAATGTGACACCGCAGTAGTTTTCAGGAAAACATAAATACCTGATTTCCCTATGAATGTATCAATGGAAAGAGGTAACTGCACACAAAACACCAGTAAGTCCCAGCGTCACAATGATTAGCACACAACTTTGGGGCTACTCAACTCAGACTAGACTCAAGGGCAATAGCAACTGGAGACCAGCAAAAGAATGCCTCTGTCCTGATAAGAGGGCAAAGAAGTTTAGGCTATCAAGGTTAAACATCAGTTTGCTTCACTTTCATTTCATCCTTGCTAATTTTATTACATATTGTTTAGATAATATACAACCATAGTAATTTTTTTTCCTCCTGAATGTCTACATATGTCAAGGTGTAGGAATGAAAATGTAGTCCAATCCTGTCTTACTTCTGAGGACAACCTCTGGCTTAGGATTGTTAAAGACAACAACTAGCACTAGACCAGTAGCTTGAGCATCCATTTACTAAGACAGGATCTATTAAAGCCAGCAGTAACCAATAAACAAATCCAACGTTTATTATCATGATACAAGGTGGTAGCTACTGTAGCATGATTATTGTTAGGGATGAAAGTCTGCTTAGCAAATGAGATTTTATTTTTTCTCAATTGCCGTCCTTCCCTGAAGGCTTTTCTTGGTCTAATTCTGATAGTGCACTCCCTCTACTATACCTTTTAAATTGGCCTATCTCAAAAAAATGCCACCATGTATATAAATGTATTTACGGTATTTAATTTACTTCAGTATTGCACTTTCTGTTGAAATGGCATGATTGCTTCTTTCTGGTCTTTGCAAGAACAAGTTGCACAACAACAACAACAGTGAAGAGACCAAGACAAAGCTTCCTTTATTTCATTAAAAACTTAGGAGACAATGATAGATAATGAAAGCTTTTGGTTTTCTCTCTTAACAGGCCCTGTGAACGTACCATGCAAGTTGACTTTTTTCTTTTTCTGTAGTTTTAAAATGAAAAGTATGCAATACAAGCCTGATAAGTCCTTTGTCTACTCAATTTGTTTCATTAGTGTTGGCATATATAATTAGATCCTATCAAAGCTAGGAGACTTAATTTCTCAACAAAGACTATCGAGTACCTTTATCAGAAGTAAAAATAACTTCCAGAAATCATAGAACTTAGTTTATTGATACAGAAGGAAGAAAAAGGCAATTCAGCTTCCCATCACCTAAGAGAAGCTCTCGTATTTCAGTCAGATTTTGTTACATGAATGTCAAGGGTACTAATGAGAAATACTTATCTTAAGGATGATACATAGAACTACTTCATATTAATGAAAGTCAACTTTAACTTACTTGAGTGTCTCTGAAAGGAAGAAACTTTGCTGCACATCATCATGGCTTTCATGATTGTTATAAACATCTCTAATGCCGGAATAGCCACCATCCACTCTGCAGTGTTTTTCCAGTGCCTGAAGAGGGAGGGGAAAAACCAGCTGGATTAACAAAACAAATCATCTGTCAGTTTTTCTTTGTTTGACAATAAAACTCACAAAAAAAAATTGTCACAAATTTTTTGATAAAGAGAGAAAAACTAGAAAAAGCTCTAGATAGAAAACTCTTTTTAAAAAAAGACACACATCTAATTTTACATTTAGGAAGAGAAGCAAAATGATAAATTAATAACAGTGAACACAAACCAGTTTTCAGAAGGAAAGATATATGGATGTAAAAATATATGGATTTTCACTTATTTTCTTTTTCCTCTTTTTAATAGGAATAACAGTAGCCTCTCTTTCATAGGCTTGTCTATCAGCCTTCAAAGATCGTGTCACGTATACCTTTCTTGGTCATATTTCAGTGCTTAAAAATTATTGTGGTAGAGTTGAACACCATGATAAAGACCAGTCTTTTCCTTACCTCCTGCAAGTCACTTTGGAAAAGGAAAGGCAACTCTCCATTTTCTATGTAAGCTGTTTGGTTTTTCTTTGCAATTATTTCATTTTTTTCAGTGGGAAGCCTGTGATACTGGGCTACTGAATTTTTTTTCTGCAGTAGGTACTATTTTTGATACCTTTCTGAAAAAGCTTTGTCTGTTACAAAGGAGTAGATGGAAAGCTAGTATGTGGCTGGACTTAACGTGTTTTAGATATAAGAATGTGTTTTTCTCTAACTAGTTTCCAAACTGTGTATTCAGTTAAAAGGTGTAAAACAGATGATTGATTCCTATTTTACAATAAAAAGGAGCACACAGACCACCTAAAAGTATAGTTTCTTTTCTGCCCCCAGGAATGTTCCCTATGATCAGCTAATTTTGAAGGAGAAAAAAGACCAGATGAAGGGTGTATACAGAAGGGTAAAAAGCATGTACCTGGTGCTGGAAGTATAGAAGGTATATATGGTTATACTATTTAATAAACTTTGCTGCTTTTCTTTTATTTTAGACAGGTGTTTGCATTAGAAAGGTGGTACCTATATATGAGCCATAACTTTAAATATCCCTCTATCCAATACCTCATTTGAGTATCGGTTCTCTCATCACTGTTTTGTTTAAAAATACTCATTCATCTTTTTTCTTTATAATTGACCTATTTAACAAGGTCAAAAGTATTCTTAGCCTCTTCATTTTTCTTATTCTGTTTTATAATAATTCTCTGGTATCAAGCAGTATAATAAAGGAGTGAAGAGAATCTAAGATGATTATATTTAAAACAACTCATTATTCAAAAACAAATCCAGAAAATGCTCTTTACCCCTAAATAACTTCTCACAATGAAAATGACAGTAAGCATGGTGGATTACTACACTTGCTCAGGACCGCACTACCCTGAAACATGGTGCTTGCTGCAGAGACAGGTATTGAAGCAATAACTTTCAGGCAGAAATTCCTGGAGCTTTATCAAACCCCTGATGGAGAGATGGAAGACAACTAGTGCCTCCATTTCTGAAGTTATTACAAATATCACTGAAGTGATTACAGGATGTGTAGATTTTATTTAGGGAAAGATGCTGCATTTCAAACTGCATATGACAAAAAAGCTATGAAAAGGCAGAAGATATGCCTAAAACAAGCAAACAGGCAGAATAAGCATTTTCTGATGAGAGAGAGAGAGATGGGACCAAAAGTCACTAATAATTACTGAGGTATCCCATCACCTCCGCCTGCTCTAAAGGCTGTTCAAGATCTGTGTTTTGCTGTGAGTAGATATCCTAAATGTCCTTGTTTTTGCTTCGGTCCCTGTAGCTATCTGCATATATTTAGCTTGCATGTCAGGCTCTCCATAGTTTTCACTGGAGAGTAAGCTGCCTATTGTATATTTAAAAGGGATTTTTCTCCAGGAGAGATCCTTTAAAATATAACAGGCCTATTTGTCTTTTCTTATGTGTCTTTCGGTTCTTTAATTTTCCTGGACACTTTTACTAAGTGACAAATATACTTAAGTTTAAACAAGTAATTTCCCCTGGCTGGTACTCCTTCCCTCTCGTCTACTTCAACCTGCAATGAATTCAAAATGCTGAATCTGTGTCTGGATTTTCAATGTCAAACAAAAGATTACGTTTAGCAAGGCACAGCAGAAGGAGAACTTGAAGGATAAGGCTATTATTCAAGGAAACATCTGCATGCTAAACAGGGTGAGGTAAAATGAAAGCAAATTGCAGTTGTGGTTTATGTGCTCTAACATGTAGTTAGAGCCTTCTTTATGAGCTCATTGTAGGGAGATACCATACAGGTACCTGAACACCCTGCTATGATGCAAACTAAGAGGTTAACTCGCACCATGTTAGCCATCTGGTAGTATCTACTTGATGCAAATGTGAAGCATCTTATCCTGTAAAGCTGCTTTCCACTTAACTAAAGGAACAGGACATTCACATGCAGCATTAGTATGAGAAGGCGGCTCGTGGTTGTCACCCTCCTTTAACTGGCAGCAATGGCCTTGTGCTTATATCTGCAGTTTCAGAGTACGGTGATGTTCACATTGGCAGTGGGGTAGTGGTGGGTGGGAAGAAACAATCAAACACATTTTAAAATAGTGGTTCTCAGAAAATGAGGGTGGCTAAGATCAGTTATGCTAGAGTAATCGAAAACATCAAGCAGAATGAAAACCAGCTGACAGGCTCAAAGTATCATAAAGGGAAGAAACAAAGGCAGTGCTGTGAATTCAAAATATGTGCCACATTTATAATGCAGAAAGGGAGACTTTCATGAGCTAAGCTGATAAAACCTTTCTGACTCAGTGGATATTGCTATTGGTCATAACTGCATTTTCTCCAACTGCTGAAGTACATACAGAATGATCTTGGACTCAAATTAAAGCAGCAAAGCAAGTTTCCAAAGAAAAAATGGAGAGGCTAGAGCATGTTTTTAGTCTATAAAAGTTAGAAGGAATTAATAGACTTGTTGGAGAGTTTAGAAGTCATGACTTGTAGAGCAGTGTCCTTTTCTACTACAAGGGCACTGGGAAAAAAACCTAATGAGTTCTTATAGCCAGTGTCATCAGTTGAAAATGGACATGAAACACCTGAAGAACAACTTTTTTGGGCAACAACACATGGTCTGATTGTTCCCCCTTTTTGTTTCAATCTCAGCTTCCTCTTTGTGCAACAGGTGTTGGTAATTAAACCAACTATATTCAGTAGTCATGGACTTCCCCAGGAACAAAAGGGTGGAGTGACATGCTCTCTGGTGCAAGAATAAGGAGCAAGAGGGAGCAGAATTTATGAAATAGTTGTGGTAAGCTATCATGACATGTGCTGGAACAAAAAAATACAGTATCAGGTGGAGCTCTATGGGCTATAAATATCAAGAAAGAAGAGAAAAAAAGAAAAAAACCCCTGATTTGAAACCTACAGCTGACTGTGTAACTTCTGTGAAGCTGTAAGATTTGTTTTGTGAAACATGCAACTGCACATTAGGACAGTGGAAGATGGGCCTGTACAGAATGGGACCAGCTGCATCTCCCACACATGGGCTGTAATCCACTACATTAGAGCCAGACAAGAGTAACCACAAGAATGTTAAACAAGGAACACACTGGGAGCCCTAAGAAGGTAAACGAGTATACAAACCTGAAATAAACGCTAACAAACTGAACCAAGAGGATAAAGAACAATATTAAGGAAAACATTTCAGTTGTTTATAACAATGTTATCGGTGTGGGCAGCAACAATGAGTCAGGAAAAACATCTCCTGGAGAAGGAACACTTGGCATTGCTGAAGCCTGGTGGGATGTCTTCCATAAACAGACATTGTAAATATTCCAATTATAATCTGCCTGGGAAGATTCCAGTAGTAAAATGTGTGCCTATGGCTGGTGTTAGCAAAGAAGAAAGTAAGGGAACAGCACTCTAAATTAGAGGTTTTTTTAAAAAAAAAAAAAATTGCATTTGAATCATTAACTCAGAAGCATATTGTTTCAGGGCCAATAGAGCCAACACTCAAGGGAGACAAATAAAAGGTCCTAAATAACTACCGTCTACCTAGCTGAATACAGCATTGACTGCAGATATGGAATTGCTGTGACTATTCAAACAAGGGGAAGTTAGAGAGTAGAAGTATAGTTAATGCTAGCAGCTATTCTTTTATGGAAAGCAGGTTTTACCATAAATTTCATTCTTCAAGAATATCTAATTACCAGACTTGAAACACTGTGTTTTCATGACACTCGACAACATTTGCGATCTGTTCAGTATCTCACATGGTGAATACTGAATACAATTACAGATCTTGGTTGCTGTTGAGGGAGCCAGGTAACCAGCGGATATCATGTCGCAGCCAGGTATATGGAGACATAACCCAGTAATAGCTCTCTAGTAGGGTCTCTCAGGAATGAGAAATTGCACGACACGAGCCTACACCTTCTTCCCTTAGTATAGAGCAACCTTCTACAACTAGTGGTGTAGGCCCATCCAAGAAAGTTATCATCATACACCCCTAGAAGCAAGAAGTGTTGGGCAAACAGACAAAGAGGATGTTTTTGAAATCCTGGAAAGCAGTAACTCTGCAAAGGAGAGCTCACTGTGAACAAAATATACAGAGTTTTGTTGGTTTTGGGGTTTTTTTTTTGTATTTTTCTTAAGTATACAGAGCTGCAAAAATAATATTCTTCAGCTTCCTGTATCTCCTATAAGATACCAGTCTGCTTAGAAATTCCAAAGTAAGAGTGAAAGGCAGATTAATTTAGCAAGGGCAACATCAACATGAGGAGAAAAATAAGTGAACTCTGAAAGTGTAATAAGGACCCATACCTGGAGGATGAAACATGGTAAATCCAAAGGCTCTCGTCTCTAGCAGCAAGAGTGATTAATCATTGAAATAAGGGAAACAATGGATTTGGCAAGCCAATTTTTGCAGTATAGACTAGCTGCCCTCTTGGAAGGCTTGTGCTAGACAAACACAAATAGCTAGATTCAGCATGACTGGTTGAAGCTCAAAAGGCTAGTGGGACACAGAAATTTAAGTCTAGAAGAGATTGTTATCATTAATGGAGTTCAGTCCAGATGACCTATGCTTTTTGAAAATGACCCATTTTTTAAATGTTCGGTACTATCTAGTACTTCATCTTGGCCTTCATCACCTTAATTAAAATCACCTTCGTACAATTACTGTTGAAAATACACTTCATAAAACTTATTTCCATGTACAAGGCTCGAATTTGACACACGTTTGCACTTTCCATTCATATGCAGCAATACTCAATACCTGGAGCAGCACATCCAAATATGAACCTGATCTAAGCAGCATTTAAGGAGGAGAAATCACAAGGTATTTTTCTAATATATATAATACCAGCAGTATTTGGGTTTGTCAAAATGATCTTAGTTCATCTATTTAGTAAATGAATCTCTGGAAATTTGAGTTGATGTTACTGATTTAAAATAAATACTTACTCTCCAACTGCTAAACAATATCCAGGTACCATTCAATAGCTCACTTAACAAGATACTAGGATTTAATAAGAAAAAAGTCCAATAGAACATTACCTCTACAGCTTCCCATCCCCACTGCCTGTACTTTGGGTCATGAGTGAGCCGCCACATGTACATGTAGGTCTCTATGACTTCTGGTCGTAGGATGTAGTATTTTTCATTTTGTCTTGTAGCAATGGCCTCAACACCACCATCAAATCTGAAGGCTTCTGGTCCCAGTTTCATGCCTAGCCAATATAAAAACACATGCTAAAATAAGGGCATTAAAAGAGGTTTCAAATTACGTAACCCACCAAATCAACTATCCTTTCATATGGCACAAAGCCAGGTTACCCAAAAGGTATATAATTTTTGAAAGATACTGCAGCATCTCCTGTTTTCATATTTTGTAAATAATTCAGAGTAGGAGAGAGCTGATTTTCATCAACGCCTTAAACAGCAGTTCAGTTTGAACAGTGATGCTAACATTTGCATTCTGGAAGACTTCGTATAACTAGCAACATGTGAAATTTTGCTTAAAAGACAAGGATATTTACCTTTCTATATCAAACTGGAAAATACACTCTGGGACCTGAAATGCTGCCAGGGTTATTTCTATAAGAAGATGAAAGAATCCAAAGAAATTTCTTGCACAGAAATCCACTTTCTTTGTGCAATTCTGCTGTTTGCAGCATTGTACCAACAGAACTGAGACTAAAATATTTTTTTGTGCATAAAACATGATTAATAGCTATATTGATGCATAAATGAACAGGGTCCCTCTCTTATCCGTATTCGGCTATACAGAAGTTGGCAAAAGGAAAAAAAAGCTATCATGTTAATGACTAGAGTGAGTAGATATGATCCAGGTGCACAGAAATTACCCATAAAACAGACTAGCCATTCTTAAAGTTACTCTTAGAACAAAGCAGCATTTGCTCAGAAAGGATGAGGAGCTCTCACCATCACACAACCTTCATTCAGCGTTACGTGAAAATACCGATGGCTGCCTTCACAAAGTCAAACTGTGAAACTAAACTCTGCAAGACGGTACTTACTCGTACGATCATAGGATTCATGGCAAGTCCTAGCAATTTCAGCACCAAGCTCGATGTGGTGGCCCGTCTTGTCATTAGGTGCTCCGTCTGCTCCTAGAGCAAACATGCCTCCAGCAAAACAAGTGAGATGTCCCATCTTGTGTTCAAGCAGTCCACCCTTCCACTCAGCAATGTATGTCAGCCCCCCGCTTGATTTTCGAATGAGGTGGGTCTCTATGGCCTGCAAAAAGTACATGATTTCAAACCAAAGGTACCATTTGGTAAAGCGTGAGGGACAAAGTTGTCTTCTATGTTATGTCGGTTGTTTTTTCTCCATATTGCCTTAGCTTATAGTAAAATGTAAAATGGATAATATGAGCTAGCATAACCTCAAAGTGCAGCCAAACCAACACAGATTAGCATACGTCAGCAACGATGATTAACTTTGCTACAACTTTGAGCAATTTACGCAGTACATTTTATAAAAATATTGGAAAGACCTAAAAAATACAATTCCATTTAAAAAATTTTTTTTCTTTCCCTTTCTACTTTGAGCAATTTCAGGTAATTTCACTTTTAATTGTGATTAGCCATGACTTTAGCTTCCATAGTTCCCATTTTAATTCTGACTTAAAGGATGTGGTTATTGATATAATTTGATGTCAATTATATGCAGACATAACTCATATTCAAAACACCTGACTCAGTGAGTGCACTGAAAGATGTTAGGCCTCTGAGTCTATATGTCATTCCCAAAGTCCAATGAGTTTCCCCTCCCAGACTGAATTCCTCTGTAGTTATCAATCAAGAGTAGGGTCTCACTGAGATTTCTGGGGAAAAACCTAAGCAGAATAAAAATACAGAAATCTCCTAGAGAGAATTAGAAGTTGGTACCGTTACCATTGTATGGTCACTGATTACAAAATCCAGGAAAACAAGCTTCCCTTGTGGGAGGAACAGAATTAAAACAACAGAGGAGATGCAGAAGAACACATTAATTAGAAGTCCACAAAGTAAGCTATAACTCTTTAAAGGGTAACGGATGTGTTCAGTTATCCAGCAGTGCTCTGGTTTATTCTGTTGAAATCATAAGATCCGGAAACATGCATTATACAAGGGAAAAACATGAATAAAATATTAGTACAGGGAACTATTAATAAAAAAGCCAGGATTTAAAAAAAAAGTATTATAAAGGAAAGATTGTAGTTATTTCTTCCCCTTTAAACATCTGTAAAGGTTGTTTTTATAAGCATGAAAAATCTTCTCTGAACTAGAAGCATCAGCAGAATAACTGGACAAGTTTACTTACTAAGTAGGTTTTTTGTGCCAAGAATGTCACGTTGAAAACTACACTTTGTTTTCCACTAATATTAGTGCAAAGCACTTAGTAAGGATGTTTTCTGCCCAGCTCCAGACCCACTATTGGCTCAGAAAACTCCTCCATCCCTTTGTTTCCTTCTTGATTGTATGTTTTTAGCACTAGGTACCTAATGAAAAGCATACCTAAACTTTAAAGCAGCAGTAAATAATGAAGATTCCTGTGCTTTAAAACAAATCCTGCATAATTTAACCTATAAAAAGAGGAATTAAATATGAAAGGGGAATGGTGGGAGAACAGTTTCCTTAAGCATCCAAACCACAGACCCCGCTGTGGAAGATGAAAGAATTACAAAGGCTGAGTAGATGTTGAGCTAATTGGTGGTTGTGTATTCCAAATCCATATTAAAAAAAGCTTTTCTGTCAGGTTGGGAAACTAGTAGCGAAATACATAGGTACTTTTTTAAAAAATAATGTTCTTTAAAACATGTCTTTTGTGATCATTTGGGTATAAAACATTTGAATTTGTAATTGAAGAATTGACAAAACAGAGTTCAAAGAACCTGCTACAAAATGTATTAATGCATAAACAGGCAAAATTAGTGAGAAGACAGAAATAATTGGAAAACTTCCAGAATCTGTTTCAGAGTGCGGTTTGCATTTTTATTAAACGGTTTATATTTTGTAATAAGATGCCTTATTGTTAAAAACACAGAACAATTTGGTGGGAAATAGATTTCAGACTACTTACGCATTCTAAAAAATAAGCTACCTAAACCCAAGTTCAGAAATGAAAACCTTTTAATTTAATGAGATTTCATGAAACCTTTCAGCATGGTATCCCCATCTCACCAAATCAACAATTCTGGCAATAGTTGGTAACTCTACCAGTCAGTTAGCTGTTGAGTCAGAATTTATTTAAAAAAGAAACAAATATAAAAATAGGTTGATGACTAAATTTACCTATATTGCATTTTTTAGTGAAGAATTAATGAAAGACAGGATGAAGTATTACTGTACCTGACAGAAATAATGGTAATCATGTACCTTCAGAACTATAGTAACTAGACCAGAGTTGATTCTTGTAGTATGAAAATGGATTTTGCGATACCAATTAAGTCTTTCAGACTTCTCCCCCCCCCCCCCCCCCCCCCCCTCCCTCCCCCACTTTCCTCCCGCGTCTG